GTTATCAGTAAATGCTTTTAGCGTCCTAACTGTGGAGAACGTTGTCGGATCGAACTGACCCGACCTATTCAACCGAATTCAAAACAGGAGGAGTTTCTCAATTCGACTGTATTTTTTTTTATGTTTGTTACCTCAGAACTTTCAACTGAGTGATTCGATTTCGATGCTTCATTTTTTTAAAGCGGCTGCTCGCCATAATGATTTCATTGGTATTGGATCTTGGGGTCCGGAGATGCTTAGGGAACTCCAGAAAATCCTTTATGAAATGAATACAGAGCGAGATATTTGAGGTCGGTTTTGTTTTTCGTCAATAAAAATATAGATTTGTTCTTTCCATCGCTCGATAGTTTTTTGATGATATTTCTTAATTTTACAGTCAGTGTGACTTATCACGTACTCAGCGGTGAAGGAAAACTTCGTGAGGAAAACCACATACTTTCGTAATAATAACAAAAAAAAAATGTTTCGGTGGTTCATTTACAACATTTATATCGGCATACGACGCATATAGCGAACATCTTAAGTTAGTTTTATAAGATTTTTTTTAAATATTTTATAGTTTTTTTGTAAACAAACAAACCAAGTTTCCGAGAATCGATTCTATACTTAATGACAACGCGCTAGTTGTGACATCTAATGGGCTCTGACATCACCGACCACAAATCTCAGCTAATGAACGTTTTTAAATGAAAATGCAATTGACTCGGTTCTTGTTAACTTTGTCATTAACAAAAGCCGTGCCTTATTGTCAAGGGGTGGAGCGAACCAATTTGCTTGTCTTGAGGCAACTAGAGGCATCATTCTTGAGCAAGTGAAATGTTAATACGATTTCCATAAATAAACAGTAAGACTATCTTTGTTGTTCATTAGAGCTTAATTTTAGCTGACTCAATGGCCGTGATAACTCAATTTCCGGGCGCTCGCTTTTAATTCAATAAATACTCGAGCAACCCGAGAACTGTGGATTCTGGTTCAAAATAAAAACAAAATTAAACATAAATTAAAATCAGTTGTCTAATGACAGGCATGTTTGTTCTGATACTAATAACACGAATGTACTATCAAACTGTTTATGTGCAAAAGTGCCCAGTTTACCGCCTTTTACGTCCAAGTCTACTAGTCATCCCGCTGTGGTTAAAGATAAACACAAGCTAGCGTTGTAAATTTAATCATTACTAACGCGGTCAATACGAAGAGTATTAAAAAGAAATATTACGCGAACACTTTACGCGCGAATTTTCATACATTCGGTGTCAATGCGTACTTGTCTGCATTTAGGCATTGCTTCGGGTCCCAGATGCAAGTCAGTCCATATAAAGCTCGTCAGCAGGAGCCCAGTATCCGGGGCAAGGGCGGCGGGTCCGGCCCTTATACGGGCATGACCTTAGCCGATGCGCCATATGTTTGACCAAAGCCAAAATGGAGCGCGCGACAGATAATAAATCGATTGGAACACGTTGTTTGCGGTGAGACTGTGAGAGGAATGAGGCCGCGCTTCGTGCCTTATGCCATATGGTATTTGTTTACTACTTTTACATTGGTCGTGGCCAATATATAATTACTACCTACACCACACATTTTGCTATGAGACAAAGTGAACCGAGCTGGCGGTTCATCTGATGTTAAGTGATAACCGCCGCCCATGGACCTTTTAATAAAGTGGACCCCGGCTACTTCACTCACCATACAAAACGCAGAAGTGTAACACTTCTACTGCACGCCGATCTTCTGCGAGGACCATTCGTGCAGCAGCGAAAAAACGAACACTGTTGCGTGGTCCTACCACTTTAAAACATTTTGAAACCTTTGTACATACATTACTTCTATTACATGTTAATTACAACTTAATTAACTTAGTTTATGCAGTACAAGTATCTTTTTGAAGTCATACTTCTTTTGGCGTCTTAGTGAAGAAATATGGTAGTGAACTTTTCACGATGTGCGAGCAGAACGAAATGAAATACACAACATAAAGTTTAGTCGTTTAATATAATTATAACTTTAGTTATGTCTCAAAAACTCAAAATATTCAAAACGAAATGTATTTCTTTTGGAGTTACATACATAAATACACACGCGTTCTTATAATAATACAATAGCGAAACTATTTTTTTTTCATAGTCTTCAGGTTTGTTATGTCTTTAGCGCCCACTTAAAATTGATTGGCAGTTCACATGATGTTAAGTGATTCACCGCCGTCTATGGACATCTAAAACACCTGACGGAAGGCAGATGCGACCATTAATAAAGTGTGCCCCGGTTACCTCACTATCGAAACTCTAAAGAATAATACTTCCAATTCACGCTGGTCTTTTGCGAGGCCGTGGTTCTTCCCCGGACATGCCTGCCCATTCATGCAACAGCTGAAGCTGCCACGTGGCCCTAGCACAGAAAAATAAGTTTTCACTGACCTCGTGGCTTTCCCAGCTGCTTCCTCTCGTTGTTGGACAGTAGCGTGCAGTAACGTAACAGCTTATAACATATCGCACTGCTGGGCAAAGACCTCCTCTGTACAGAGGGTATTAGGGGATAGTCCACGCGACCCTACTGCGGATGGGCGTTTTTACAAAAGGAATGTCTTGGAAATGCTTTTGCCAAGCTACTCTGTTTACCACCGACAATTTCATTGCTATTTACCATAGACATAATTATCAAGCCTTTACCACTTCATGAATAAAAAACTTACAATGATTTGCATAATTTATTTACGTTCTTTTAAACATTCGCTTTTAAACAACGGTATCTGGGTTCTCTTTTTCTTCTAATATATTCAACTCATATGTGTAGCCGTGTCGTGTTTGAATTACAATATGGTTGACACGCTTTATCAAACGACGTGTTTATTCGTTTATATTTTATAGTTCCTTTATCTTGATGGCTAGATTGATGTTTACTATACGGAAATATTACGCATTTCAATCTGAGCATAATTATTGAGATGCACTTCTATCTCTGAACAAATCAAACAAGTACTTACGTTCCGGTGCTCGAAAAAAAAACATCCTAAAAATGGCTGTATATATCTTAAAAATAGAAATGTATCGAAGATGCGTCAAGTCCTTTTGATAGTAAGGGGGATCTATACCTAGATTTTTGACCCAACATTGGAACGTAATTTGTGTCACTGTCCTGATATCGTTTTCAAAATTTGTTGGGTTTACGACTGGGATTGGGGCTGGGACTGGGCTTTTGGCACAAACCGACACCTCAAGGATGTACATTAATACCATAATATTTTGTTATTATGCCGCGGCGTGGTTTTCCTGCAATTCGAACGGCTGTATGCCACCATTAGTCATATTTGCTCGGCGTAGTTACGTTTCGCGCGACGCCATCTTTTGTTAAGCCCATGTCACATGTCGCCATTTCAAAATGTCATTCGTTGCGCGGAATAATTACCGGAGCATACGTAATATTGTATTACAGACAAGTATTCGAAGGCTCTTTGTCTGCGTGTTCGCTTTGTTGACACATTTTTACCGAATATTAGTTATAAACTTCAAGGTCAGGTTGAGAACTTACATCTGGGTATGGTCTTAACGCGTTTTAGATTGTAAAGCCTCGGACGCTTTTAGAACCATTAATTGTCAACGGATGATATAAAAGATATAAGTAATATGTAAAGTTCTACAATCACTTTTATAAATTGAAAGGAAAACAAAATGTGTAGGTAGGGAAAACCTACTTTATTTCGAACAAATTCGACCTCTATAGTTACTTAGACTTTTACTTCGACTTACACCCGGTTTCTGAAACACTGATTATCGTAGATGTTAACTAATCAGCTGTCAAATAGCTTCAAATGTTATTTGAATTGCCAAAAGGATCGTTAAACTCTTTGAATTTATCATTTTGATCTTTCTGGTCAATTCAGAGAGTTTAACCTTCCTTTTTGCAACTAAAATGAACTTTGAAAAGCCATAGTTAGGCTTCTGATTCTTAGGCCGGAAATAATTACGCGATAAGAATAGAGTAGATAAATTTTATTTTTATTATATGTATGGTTACCTTATAAAATAGTGTCAATTATATTTTAGGAAAATATAACTAGGTACATAGTTATAAAGAGATAAAGAATATTTTTATCTACTCCCTACTTCAACTCTTCATATAACTTAAAAGTAACAACAGTCCACACATTTATTGTAAACTTAGTGTAATCATAGCTATTACCTAATATTTACTTTAAATTTGCAAAAGAACGCATAATCAAAGCATATCTTTGATTATATACTTGTCAAGTTTATAATATACTTGACAAGTATATAATCAAAAGTCTGAACGTCCTTTTACAAGCAAATCCTTCCATGTTTACAGAAATCAAAACTAAAAAGCTTCATAAACAGTAGGATAGATGGCGGTGTTTAAAGTTGTTTTTATTGCAAATGGCGAGTAAACATAACGTTGATGCATAATGTTGTTTCAACATTATTAATATAGCTAGTTTATACATGATGTCACAACGTTTTATTCTAATGACACCGTGTATATGATTATACGTTGGCAATCGTATTTATTCATGTTTTTAAAAAACTGAACGAATATTCATTCGGTATTTATTCAGAGCAGAATGTCAATGTCCAAACAAATGTATGACTCGTCTCGAATACACGCAGGCCGATATCACCAAATACTTATTCCGATAGTTTTATATGCACTGGTAAAAACGGAATTCTCAAGTCTTTTAACTCTTACAGCGTAAACAGAGATTTACAGTTCTACCTGCCGTTCCACCGTGAGGACTCGTTTCCCTAAACAATATCTTCGCCCCTCAAACTTATTTTATAACAACAAATTCACGTTTTAAGCCCGATAATCGTACAAATATAACAACTTAGACCGTCTTTGTTACTAGAATACGCAATAACTACAAAGTTACTGGAATAATAAACATGTTGAATAGAACAAAGGAAATCAATCAGGGTATATAATTGTACCTTCGACTTTTTGCGATGATCGTTACCTTGTACCATCTAACGGGTACCATTTTTGTCCACAGAATGTCCGACGGTGACGTCTCGCTGATTCGCGACGAGGACTTGTTGCGACGCATGGTGAGATGCCCCTTTCTGCACTTATCTCGACCCCCAATTGTACGCATGGATCCCAAAAGGAAACTTCACTCACATAATCACCAGTCCTTGATTATCCGATAAACACAATACCAAACTATCAACCAATACCGACATACCAACTGATCTCTTATTTCGTCCAACATCTTAAGTGTGTTATTTTCAACCGATTTCAAAAAAAGTAAGAGCGTTACGTTCCCAATTCGTTCAAATATGCATATAATTATATTGATTTTTTTTATGTTTGTTACCCGATAACTCCGCCATTTATGAACCGATTTTAAAAGTATTTTTGCATTGGATTCGTTTCAGCACCCCTGTGGTCTCATGTTTATTTAATTGGTATTGGAGTTTAGACTTCGAAAATAAATCATGGAACTTCTTAAAATCAAATCGAAAATGTAGTGAGATATTTTTATTTGTTAAAAACTTCATACTAAATGTTCTCTGGTCCTAACGTAACTTTAGTGAAAATTGTTCACAATGGTGTAATTTCAAATAACGTAGAAAGATTTTAAATCATGTGTACTGCTCTCTGTGCCTATGAAAATATTCTATTGATTGTGATACTATTTAATATTACGTACTTTATCTAATGTATAAAATTCTCGTGTCACGCTGTTTTTAATTGAACTCCTCCGAAACGGCTCGACCGATTTTCGTGAAATTTTGTGTGCATATCGGCCAGGATGGAGAATCGGACAACATCTATTTTTCTTCCCCTAAATATTAAGGGTGGTCCACCCCAAACATTTTTTTTCTTCCCTACAAATAATTTATATAGCAAAACAACGTTTGTTGGGTCAGCTAGTATTCTATATTAAATACGTCATCGAGCACCCAGATCCGAAAAGTCGTTCCACCAATTGTTGTAGCGTTGTGTTTGAACAGTTAAACAAGTATATCGTGCGGAACATCTGTGCCGTCCAAAGCACCAAATTAAACAGTCACTCCGACGTTTGCAGTGGCAGCAGACTCAAGACTTCTCCCGGAAGAAAGAGATTCGTGCCCACATGTACCGGCTGCGTGAGGAGCGCCTTCGCAACCTCTACTCCCCGGAACCGAACGCAGATACGAAGGGTAAATTGCTCTTTTTTATAGTGTTGGACATTTAAACAGTTTTGCAAATCAGCCGCTGTTATAAACAATTAGAGTGAAAATATTCGTCGTTTAATTTTTACTCTGTCTTTGTGTCTGCCTGTCCGTCCGTCACCAAGCTGTATCTCACGAACCGTGATAGTAAGACAGTTGAAATTTTCACAGATAGTGTATTTCTGTTGCCGCCATAACGACAAAAACTAAAAAAAAAAACAGAATAAAAAATATTTAAGTTGGGCTCCCTGTCTGTTGTAAGACATGACTTTTTGCAGTTTATAGATAAATAGTACGGAACCCTTAATTCGGTTTTTAGGATATTTGAGGAATGAAGTTGGACAAACTTTAAAAATAAACATATGTGTGTAGTGATTATAAATTCATACGCAGTACACTTTAAATCGCTAGCGAAAATTACTGGAAGAATGCACACATGTTTAAAACTGTTACCAGAAGTTGTAATGTATGTTATTCATCCCGTTGATGAATATTATCCTTATTAAGGTAGACCTGCAAAGACTTGTGTACTAAAAAAAGATAGCAATTGTGCAGTGCTGGACTAATGGAGGTCTGGGGTGGAAGGGGCGGCCCGCCGCAGGCCTCGGGTAGGGGCCCCCAAGTTCCCTTGAACAAATGCCTAAACAAGGCCTTAAAAATATGCTTCAAAAAGATCCCTTGATATCTTTTCATTATAGATAATATAGATGGTAATAAAATATGTTATTAATTATAAAGATCAACTTGATTTAAAAGGCACCTCACTGTAACCAGTAAGTATGTACGAGTAGCTATTATAGCATAATAGTGTTTGCGTCTCTTCATTTTACCACGTCAATAACTTTAGTGATATCAATTTCTTTCGATCTTAAACTTATATATAAACAAGTACTATATATTTCCAAATATGAATATAACGGTTTATACCTGTCTTCTCTCCTGTGTATACTGAAACAATGCTTTGTGACATTTTTGTTGTGTTATTAGAGTAGTGTTGTCCCCAATCCGGCAGGTTGTGAGTTCACGTCATCGCAGGGACATGTGAAGTCGTTCGCCGATCAAAGCTTCCAATCCATGAAGAGCAAGGAGGTGCGCGACGCGGGCTCCCCGCCCAAGGAGTTCACGTACAGCGGCCAAGGTGCCACCTCCATCCCTACCCAGGCATAACCTTAACAAGACTAATGCCTATTAACCAGTAACAGTCGCGCGACCAGTACTACCAATCTGCTCATGCCCCTCCGACCTTTTGCAGATCTGAAGGAGCTCTCCAACGCCGGTTGGAACGTGGAGTCGGAGAACAGAACCACCGACGATGGCCGCACCCACGTTAAAACCGTCCAGGCGAACATCGAGGGCAAGTATGACGTCGAAGGCGGAAAGGGCCAGTTCGCAGCGATCGACCACCACAAACAAGCTGTCACCGAATTCGACGATGGCAACACCAGCCTAAAGAGAAACGAGAGCTCGTCCAACACCGCCGCACACGAGCAGGTCGTTCGTCAGACCGATGACGGCTCCCTCTTCTCGTCTACTACCAGCTCGTCTACCAAAACCTCCAAGTTCCAGGAAATGTCCTCCACCATCAATGACACCATACCATTAACCACTGACGACTATGACCTAACACGACAATCTTACGATAATAAGCGTAACGAAGAAATGACAACCAGCAAGATTACTAATACTAATGACTACGAACAGAGTTTGAGAAGTAATTCTGAGCAAGGTGAACTAGTTTCCCGCAAGGTTGAATATCCGGATGACAATACTAAAGTTATAGTGGAAACCAGATGTCTCCCCGATGGTACCAGGGTAACCAGCACTCGTCGTGAATTCCGAGTACCAGCGGCGCAGAGTAGCCGTTCAGAACATTATTCACAACAGTCCAAAAGCGAGAGCAAATCTTCCTCTTACTCATCATCAAAACTACGTTCGGATTTCAAGGATACTTCGACTAAAATAATTCGTGATACATTTGATGATCGCACAGATGGTATTGTTGATCATCAAAGAAATATAGATGATAATGATTTTAAGAAAAATCATGATTTTGAGCGTACGATGAAGGAAAAGGATGATTATGAGCAAACTTATCAACAGCGTATTAACAAGAAGCGATATGAAAGCAAGGTTGATGACAAACAGAGCTACGTGACGAAGATTGATGACAAGCATACTTATGAGATCAAGATTGACGACAAACAGAAATATGAAAGCAAAGTTGACGAAGCTGATCGGCGTGAAGTTATATCGAAGGAAAATGACCAGCGCATTGTACGCCATGATATCAAAGATGATACTCAATACAAAAAAGAAAATAGAGAAGTTATTCATCATGTCAAAAATGAAAAGCAAACGGAAGAAGTTGTCGAGCGTAAAATGAGCACAGACAGATTCCAGACAACTTACCAGTCTGACTATACTCAAAAGAAGATCAGCTCAGATTGGAGTCCTTCACATCAAGCTTGGGCAAGCACTCTGAGATCAGATACACCAACACGTCCATCTACTAGAGCTTCTTCTCCAGGAAGTAGAACATTTGTGTCAAGTAATTCGTCCTTGAGAAGTAGTGTAAGCCCCGATAAGACCTACAGAAAACCATCCAGCCGTGGTGGAAGCCCCACAAAAACTGATAGATATTCCCCAAGCCGCAGTACAACTGAAAAATATTCAAGTATTGACTCAACGCATACTACAACAGAAAATACTACCACCAAACAATCTAACAATAAACATCATGGTCAGTCTCCAACCAGATCCTACAGTCCTGAAAAGAAAATGTCAAAAGAGCATTATACAAGACCAAGTGTTAGCCCTGAAAGGAAAATAACTAACAAATCGCCGATTTACCGTGGTAGCCCTGAACGAAAAAATGAACCTAAGCCTACCATCCCCGATAGCTACCCGGGAGCTAGGTCTTCTACACAACCCACAGAGAGAAATGACATTGTTAAGAGACCCAGTATTAGTCCTCATAGTAAACCAAGCTATCCACATGATGAAACTGAATATCCTGAAAATATTTCTCCCGATCGATCAAATGGTACCAGACCCTCACCACGACAAAGTCCAAGCCCAAATAGAAAATCTACCTATGAAAGACCTCAAGTGAGTCCTGATAGAAAACATGGTATAAGTAAAATTCCATCAAACGATTCTTTTCATGTTAAGTCACCAAAAGACAAAAAATCTTCACCTTCAAGATTATCACCTAGCCCTGATAGAAAAGGGAAAGATAAAAAACCCTTAACAAATTCGTCCGCTAGCCATATTCCATCAAACGAAAAAGCTCCAATCAAGCAGAATGACAATAATTCCGATGAAGGAAAACCTAGGGCTACTCCGAAAGATATAAATAACATCCATAGACGACAAAGTCCTGGTCCTAGGCCAGGTTATCAGCAACCTACTGCTCCTTACGAAGCTACAAGTGAAGATACTGATTTTGACATAAACCAAAAAGATGTTGAATCTCCCGAGAGAAAAAAACCTGAAAGAAGTAGTGTTAGCCCTGACAAAATATCAGAAGAACAAGTTACCAATTCTCCAACAAAAGCTAATTCAATTGAACTAACAAACAATAAATTTCCGAAACAATCTCCGAATAGAAATTCAGCTAGCCCGGAAAAAGTACCTCCCATTAATGACGAAAATAAATTCCCTGGAACCCAATCACCTCACAAAAGTCCTCATTCATCTTCTACATCAATAAAAAAAGAAAATCATTACAAATTTATTGATGAAGAGACTAAAATATACGCTCGAACAGATAAAACAAATCTTTCTGAAAAAAACACAGAATGATAGTACATCTAAACAACACAACATTTCAATAAACGATGACCTTTCAACGCCTAGTAATTGTGTTACAGTGAGAAAAGAATCTAGGTCACCATCACCTAATAAAAGTTCAGTCACATTTACAGACGATAAAAAATCTGAAATAAGATATAATGAAGTCTATAAAACTGGCAGCACTACTTCTGATTATGAAAAGTTGGAAATCCTAAAGAAAGATAAGCCCGTTTCAAATAACGATGACACACCCAGTGGAGTAATAAATAAAAATGTTAGAGAAACTTCACCTCGGAAATATGGAACATATACCAAAAAAGAAATTCGTACTAATGAATCACGGAACCAAATAGAAACTGCGGATTCTAATGTTAGACCTATAGAACCTAAATCACCCACGAAATCTCAACCTGAAACATCAAGCAAAAAATACACAACAGATAGTAGTTCACCTACGAGAACAATACTTAGGGATGATAAATACAAGACAACAACTGAATTTATTGATTTTGAAAGAACTTTGGAAGAGTCAAATAAAAAGACAGTTGATGTAAAAAAAGAGGTAACAACAACTAAGGGAAGACCACGTCAACTTGTTACTCCATCTAGTAGCCCAACTAGGAAGCCTAAGTCAGAAACAGAACCATCGACTGGCCAAAGTTCTCCGACTACTTCCGTGAGCGGCTTTGTGTACTTTAGTTCACCACATAGGGAACAAATGGTTGTGACAGATCTTGATGACAACACTTCCTATATGGAATCTACGGATGTGTTGAGAGATAATAAACATGAGATAAATGAAGTAACGAGACCACAATCACCCTCTAAAATTCCTTGTCGATCTCCATCTCCGCAGAAGACACCATTGCCAAATAAAAGTAATCTACCAAGAAAAAGTTCTTTAAAAAAACCCACAGGTGACAAAATACAAGTATCACCAACAGAGCAGCCTCCGTCGAATTTCCAAGTCTCTCCAAAATCCGATAAGAAAGATCTGCCTCAACGTGAAATTGATAACAATTATCCCAATAAAACAGAAAATACTACTGTTAAACCCAAACCACCACTTGAAAGACGAGAAACTTACGAAGAACGTTGTCGTAAGATATTAGGCATGATGGAAGACGCTTCATCTGAATCGAAAATTCAAGAAACCTCAAAACAATCTACTGAAAAACCAGATTCTTATCTTACCTCACCAAGTGTGTCTCCTTGTCACAGTCCAGAGCCAAAAGAAAATATATTATTAAGTGATACCAAATATTTTGGGAAAACTACTGAAGAGAAACTCACTGCTTCTGAATTTATAAAAAAAGAACAAGATTCAATTCAAATCACAAATATTATCAAAAACCAATCCGATATCCTTGAAGATTCAAACAAAAAAATACCTAAAAGTTCAACCAAAGATGAAATGTTAAAAGATAGTGAATTTGTTAAAAAAGATACGGATGGAAAAGAAGAGGAGGCAGATAGAATAGATCGATTAAAAACTTCAAAAAAATGTACGCATCGTGACGCTTCTGTCAATAATGAAACAAAAATAAAGTCACCTTCCTCTAGAGATACCTCGCCGACCAAGAAGATTGATAAGGATAAACCTCAAAAGATATCTTCTAGAGATACATCACCCACGAAAAAGTATGGCACTGATAAATTACCCCTTAGGGATACTTCTCCAACAAAGAAGTTAGATGCGGAAAAAACACATAAAGCTACTACAAAAGACACTGTTCCTACTAAAAAGTTTGACACAGACAGACCTCAAAAAAACCCTCCAAGAGATACTTCACCCAGCAAGAAATTTACTATGGATAAACCAAAAAATCCATCGCCAAGGGATGCTTCGTCTACAAAGAAATTGGATACGAAAGAGAAAACATCCAGAGACAATTCACCGACTAAAATCCGCAATGTAATTTCATGCACAGAGCACGCAATTGAAACAAAATCTGAAGAAAAATCAACAACTAAAACTTTTGAAAGCGACACCTATAATAAAACTGTTACGACTGAGTATCCGTTGCCTTCTGAGAGAGAAAAAAGTCTTGAAAAAACACTTAAACCTGAAGAGTTAGGTCCGAAATTAGAATATAGTAAGATCCCGTCAACAAAAACACCAGATCGTCCAGAGATCAGATCTCACCATCCTACGTATTCATCCACAAGACACACGCCAAAAATGCCAAATAAACAAGATATTAAATCAGATCGTAAACCTGATAACAAACTAGTAGGCCCCCATTCACCTACAGCTTCCGCTAAAATATCCGTTGAAAAGCAACCTAAAGAAGCCATCTCAAGTAAACACGATAGACCTCAAAGCCCAAATAAGAAGACCACTTCACAATCTCCTATTCGCAAGGTTGCTAATGATCATTCTAAGCCAACACAAACCAAGGAACCAGAATCTGTACTATATGCTACTACTACTAAAGCTACTTCTAATGTTGATGAAACGTCTAATTACTCTTCTGAATTTATTTCCTCAGAGAGAGAAAAGGAAGTTTTAGATAGGGTTCAGAAATCATTAAGAAAGTTGTCTCCGGAGCGAAAAGAAAGCACACCAAGTAGGGAAAAAAGTCCCGTGAAGACTACTACTTGCTTACGCGACATTGATATTGTCACAGATTACGCTGAGGCCAGTGAAATAGTTGAAGTTGATCAAATTGCAGAAAGTATACAAAAGCGTGTTATAACAACTAAAGATGATATAATTCATACGGAAAAATCAAAAACCGAGAAATCAAAAGATCAAAAGGTGCCTAGCAAACCCACATCGAGAAACGTCTCTCCAACTAAAAAAGCTCCAAATGTGTCTAAAACTACTGAAACTACTGAAACCGTGACTAAGCCAAGGAGCACGTCCCCTAAGAAACCCTTAAGCTCCACCGAGAGGCCAAAATCTCCACAAATACAAAAGACTACTGGAATAAAGTCAAAAGAACATGTACCGTCTCAGTTAACACGAAAGCCTTCACCTACTAAGTTTGATAAAACCATAACCAGCGAGATTAAGAAAACCGGCGTAACAAAGCAAAATAGTTTTACTAAGACATCAACGACAAAAACTTCGGTCACTAAAGTAAGTCAAAATAATATTATCAGTAGAACATCTGATTCAGAGGTGAAAAGAACGACTACACCCAAAGCACCTAACAAAGACATCGCTATGAAAAAAGAAACTGATGTTAAAGTTGCTCGCACAAGTAGTGATATAACACTCAAGTCTAAAAAACCTGTCTCTCCACAGAAAGTTAAATCTAAGCCTGAAATACACGTAAATGATATGTCTACATTAAAAACCAATAAATCGAACACATCTAGATCGCATAAATTAGCAACGAAAGAAGCTCAATCTAAACTACCGAGCAAACCTAAATCCGCTACTGCATTAAATACGTCTCTTGATGATGATGATGTCCTTATTGATGTTCAACAAGCAAAGTCTTCTAGAGAAAATTCTCCGGATCGCATCTGCCCCACTCCAATAAACTTCTCGGAGGATATTGGCACTCCAAGATTCCCCGACGAAGTTAATGAACCTGATGATGAATTAACCAAAAGACGACACACTATTATTCATGAAACAGAGTCTATTGTTGATGACATAGTGGAAATTTGTGAAGATGACGAGCTATTTGTAAAAAGAAATGAAGAGGACCATCTAACAGAGTCTGACGAATGCCTTTTGACTGTGAATGACAAGGTTTCCAAATTCACTAGTAAAATACACACGATAAATAAACCGAAAGAAACTACAACGCGATTTAAAGAAACAGAAAGGAGACTACATTCTGACTATATTGACGAAAATCTTAAAACAGATGAATGCTTGCTTTCAGTATCTGAAAAAGTAAACAAATTCGCAAAAGGACCAAGGGACACAAAAGACAACAGAAGCCCATCACGTAATATTAAAGATGAATATGACAGAGACACGGTATATCAAGATAACTACACAAAACTTAGCGTTAACGATAAGGCTCATCTATTTGTTGAAACAGCAGAAAATATAAAAGTTGGCAAGCCTAAAGTGAATCAAAAAGCAGAACGTCCGGATTTTAGTGACGTTGATGAATCTTTGAAAAGTGACGACTGTTTACTTAGCGTTTCAGATAAAGTTAATAAATTTGTTAAAACGGCTGAACAATTTCTAAGCGAATCCTATGAGGTAGAGGAAAAAGAAAAGAAAATTAAGGAACAACATGATAAAATTATGAGAAAAATTATCGATAATATTGACTATGATTCAGAAGACGAAAGCAGAGACATAGAAACTCGTGATGAAATAACAAAAGAATCAAGAGCTCATGATGAAATGTTAAACAAGAAAACGCCATCATCTCAAAATAAACCAAACGATAATTTAGTTCCAAATAACGAACCCACTGAAAAGACACCCTCTAAAATCACATCTTTACGTAGTAGTGAAGCTGTTAAAAAGGCAAAAGCCCTCTTTGAAAACATTGCATCTAATAAACAAAACAGTAAAGAAACAGTTTATACAAAAGTATCAAAAACAACGGATAGTAAGAAAATTACCAAACCAGATTCAGGAACTTTAAAGAAACCTTTCGATGATGTAAATGAGAAAACGCCTAACATTAATGATCAAGATAAGATTAAAACAATTCCTCGTGAAGTGTCCACTGTTGAAAGCCAAAATAATCTTCATCAATCTAAACGTGACCACGAAGAAAAACAGCGGCAAAGTCCTGCGCGACTTAAGGCTCTATCCCCTGTTCCAGCAAGGAAGAATTCCCCAGGACGGCACTTGATAGAAGAAAAAACGACTCATACGACTACCACACAAATTACGTCAAAATGCCCATCATCGGATAGGTCTGAATCACCTCAACAAAAAGTAGTAGATGAGTTTGCGGATAAACCGCACGATAAAATTCCTGGATATCTACGTCCTACGAAAACGAGTCAACTGAAAGAAGAGCCGAAAGTTTCGGAGGAAACAGAAGTCAGTAGCCGACGTGGTAGTGGGAAATTCGGAGTAGAACTTCGTCGGACGAGTATTGAAAGATCGACTATTAGCAGTGAGCGGCGTCGTAGCAGTGTCGAACATCATCAACCTTGTATTGAAGATATTAACGATCTTGACCTCCTGGAACAAATGGTTAGTATTCATCAAACATGTTCAGCTAATATAGATAAACAAATATTATATTAACATTTAAATGTATTTTTGCAGTTGGAAAAGGTCGTCGGTTACGAGCAGAGGCGTCGCATTAGAGCACAAATCCGAGTTGCAAGGAAAAAACAAGAAAGTGAACATATGACCATTACCAAAACAACGAAGGATACTACTATTAAGAGAACGGTGTCCCCGCAACGACAACCAAGATCACACACTCCTGAATACCAATCAAGATCCACTCCACAGAAGTCTCCAGAAAGGGAAACGAAACCTTATGAAAAACTTGATTCACCCGCTCGACAATCCACCCCACAGCGAACGATTTCCCCTGAATTAGAATCAAAACAAAAACCTGCCACAAAAAAATATGCTTCGCCTGAAAGACAATCTCCACATAAAAAGTCTATCTCACCTGACCGAATAAAACCAAGAGAACCAGAAAGCATTCTACTCAATGGCCACTCTAAGGAACCGTCTAAACTTGTTACTGATAAAAGACCTCAGAGTCCGGCAAAACTGCAACAAAAATCAACGCCCAGAAGTCCAATGCGGCCTTCGAGTCCCGATAAGAAGACGAGACCAGTTTCTCCTACCAAGTCTGCAGCACCCAAACCTAAATCCAACCGATTCAGCGAGTATGCTTCAGCCTATATGAAAAAGATTGGTCTTAAGTCAGAAGAAGTTAAGAGTTCTTCTCCGAAACCTAAAAAGACACCCAGTCAACAAGTGTCTGAAAATGTAGTAAAACAACAGCGTGCTGTGGAACAAATAGACGAGGAGAATCAGACAAAACAAACATCAACATCAATCGCAAAGAATGTATCGGAGCGTACCACATCTAAAGATATAATCGAAATTGTGCAAATTAATGGGCGTAGATCTGCCTCACCAGAGAAGAAAATTAGCCCTGAACGTAGACCTAAAAGTCCAGAAAAATCTAGAAGTCGAACCCCTGAATTGGAAAAACCAGTAGAAAAGACACCCAAGAAAAAAGAAACTCAGACAAAAACTGTGAATGATAACGAAAAGAAAGTTTCATCCAAACAGCAAGAAGAGGAGAAACCCTCGTGGGTAACGAACAGAAATCTGAAAAAGGTATCATCCACCGTTCGCACCTACAGCACTAAAAAAATTGATAATGAAAAGCAGAAGTACCGTGCTCCAAGTCCTTCCAAAGTAATATCAAAGCCAATTGACGTGATTACTTCTAGCTATGGACCTGGACCTCTGGATGCTGACGGCAGACCTTTGTTCGGCATAAAGGCGCTTAAAAAGGGGGCGACAAACTACCAAGGTAATTAACTATATTCACAATATGATAACACTATTCCAGACAAATGTTTTTAACGGTTTAACTTATTCATTTTCAGACATCTGTTACTTTTTAAAACTTTTCTCATCATGAAAATTAATTTATAAACTTATGTTAAGCTAAATAAATATAACATTAAGCACATATTCTGCCTTCAAATTGTGTCCATCCAAGCTTTATTTACAGTATTTCAAGGACAGTTTAATTCTTAACGTTACAATTAAATGCATGTCCAATTAATAATAAAGTTGACAAAAGTACGATAAAAAAGGCAGACGATACAAGTTCCAGCGCATTGGCAATATTCATATTGAATAAGATTAAATACAAGTATAAAATGTCAGTACGGTTCAGTTACATGATCACTTTCAAGGTGAACAGTCGTTTGACAATGTTATGTACACATTACGAAGACTGAATATTGAATAATGTGTATTAATTAACACTACAATAAAACTGTTTAGATAGTGTTTACACTGAGATCAATAATTGCTAAACGTTATAAATTTTTGTATAGTGAAGGGTACGGTGATCCGCCAAGAATTTCACTCGAAAAATGGTGGAGAGCCCGTAGGCACGGTCTCTGTTACTGCATACTCCACTGAACCTGAAGATCTGGAGAAACTATTACAAGATCAGGGTGAGAGACCTTCGAGGATCCACGGCCTGGCGGCCATTACGACGACAAAGAAGTTTGGTGGGGACTCTGGTACCACTTACAGCGAGATTCATAACGTAAGCGCCTTTTGCCTTTATTCTAGCTTATCGAATTAAAGCATTTCTAATTTAGAAGCGCCTATGGATTTAAAGTAGCAATCTGACACATTCATGTTGAAAATGATTTGCTAATATTTTATTTAAGATTTTACAATTGTCTTAGGGTGCGTGTTTTTTTTTTTTTCTAAATGAACTGGTTATTTTTAAGGGCAAAAATATTCTGTGTTACTCTAGAGTAAAATTAAATAAATGATAAATGCAAATATTTATTATAACCGTGCACCACTTGACACGTTTGCTACTAAAGAATGGTTAAATGAGAACAGCATTAGTCATTGCCTAGTACCGTTACGAGTAGAGGCAAATTTAGCAAACGTAGAACTACTGACTGTCATACATCTATCAGTATTTTACAAATTTTAAATGTTTCTTATAATCAAGGCGTAAAAAATTTTGCGAATATGTGTCGTTTGTTCTGCACATAAGGAAAACGTAAACTTTCAACCTTGTCAATTCACAGAGAGAGGAGAGAGCTGCGTTGGACCAATTCACTCACAGTGACCGACGCATCAGTGAGTCCAGAATAGATCGCTCCTCGGAGACGAGGTACGTCGAGGATCTCCGAGAGAAGAAGCACAGTGTCACCGAGAGGGAAGACAATAGAAGCTTTGAGCGACGCCACGAAGGGCGTGACCAAGAGAGAGAAAGCGAATATACTGTGGAAGTCACAAGAGAAGAAGAGGAAAGGGACAGCACACAAAAACACGACCGAGAGCAATTCTCAGAAACGTACGTTATGGAGACCAAGAGAGAGGACAGTCGCAGGCAGCAGGAATCTTCGGACAGGGAATACAGAGTAGAAGTCAGAAGGGAGGAGAGAATTGGACGGGATCGAGAAACTAGTCACGCCGACAGGAGTGGAGGGAAAATTCGCGAAGAGAGAGTGGAGAGGATCCAAACCACTCAGAGAGGAGAATCAAAGGGTAAAGAGACTGCTAGAACCGAGAAAAGAGTAGAGAACAAGAAGACTGTACTCCGTCAGGGCTCAGTCAAGTCACTCACGGAGAAATTCATTAAGAACGCAAGTAAGTACTTTCATGTACCAACTGCAGCTCTATTACACTAGAATCTTGCATGAAAATGATCTTGCATAAATATTCCTCCAAACTTTTAGAAATAGGCAAAAACTATTTTGCCGCGCTAACATTTGAAGCATTTGAGTATTTTGTAGGTTAAAGTCAAAATACATAAAGTATGTTTATTATTAGCTTTATTTTTTTTTAATTTTTTTTTACACACTTTAAACCAACATTTAATTCGAGAATAATAAAGAGAAATTCAGCTGTCGATCTATGTCGGCATTCCATACAATTTTGGCGCACCATTGAGAAACTAAACTTTTATCTATATCAATGGACAGTGCTATTGCCTTTTAGCTTGAAAATTACGAAACTGTAGTTATTATCTACGACGCCGAAAATTCGGTTCGGTCCGAGGGACGGCTCAGAAAAAACTGTCGCGTAACGACTCACTCCGTAACGTAATAACTTACGTAATTAAAGGAAATAAAGATTTGCTTTCAAGCGTTTTCGGCCTGCACTTCGCTTGCAAGTCGGGTTGAGTGAACACTGAACTAATGTCAAATTATTCCGTTTATCATAAAAAAACGGTGCGTTATTGTCAGTTTATATTTTTATTAACTTAAAAGTAATAGTGGCCTCACTGCTGTTTGAAAGCGTTGTGATCAAGCTGTATTTTATTATATTTGTCTGTTTCTAGACAACTTGTGTAAGGACAGAGTAATTGAAATACAAAGCTAATATTTAACTAACGTGGACTTGCACGAAAGCAGTACTTAATTCTGCCTGATTCAAAAAGAGCATTAATTTTTGTGCGGTTTGGTGCGTAGGCGACACTGCAAGAAGCGAGCGGGTCACATACCCGAAGGCCGGTCTCATCCTGCGCACAGGAGGCGTCAGGGACCCCACCGGCGACTCCACACACGCCGGTAAGAATCCGACATCTAATCCTAAAGCATAGGCCCCACTGCTGAGCAAGGCCTATCTCTCGTACAGAGGGTATTTCACATGTCTTCGAAACATTTTTTTTGTTATTCTCTCGAAAATATTCAGGTTTCCTCACGACGCTTTCCTTCAACGGTGAGCACGTGATAAATAAGCACTTAAAATTAACAATTACATTGGTGCCAGCACCGGGGATCGAACTCAGGTTAATCGAGTATATTGAATTAAATGCGAGCACCCGGACATTGAGCTATCACGGCTCTCGCATAGTCCTATAAGACTAAAGTAAATACTGTAAAACATGAAAGTAGATCTGTCTTCGCTTACTATCACAGGAAAGGAGGTCTGTCTTCGCAAACTAATCTCCACTCTCGTCAATATGGCAATCTTCTTGATTCCGTCGGATTACATTCTCACTTCTGGATTTCTACTTATTGTATAACTATTGTATGATAAACTTAGTTATTCTAGTATCGGGATATTCATATTTCTACAACGTTTACAAAAGTAAAGTATGTTAAAATATGTTTATCAGTTACTACTATAGTACGTACAAGTTTAGTTTGGGACTCAGGTTGAGTAAAAATAAGTACCTAACATTAGTTTCAAGCATACAATTAAAGTGACCTTTAAAATTAATATTGCTTTTTTCGCCAGAGCGGCATTGACCTTATATAAAAACTAAACGTTGAATCCACGGCGTGGTACCTCACCTCTCACGCCACAACAATAGATTACCTACGTCGCGTCACACGATGACAAACATCATTGTTTTCGATACAACGGCATGACGCGCCCGGCCGTTTGTCAGATTCGTACATTCAACCGGACCCACACTGATTGTCCGTACGCACAGCTGATATATCACAAAGAAATCTTCCCAGGCGAGTATCTTCCGAAGGAGACAGTTATAACATCGCCGTTGAGAATAACTTTTCGCTGACACTTCGTTTACACTACCTCCGCGCGTACAGATCTATCGCGAACGGACAGCGAGCACAGCCTGGGCTCGTGCGACGACGTGGTGACCACCAGCACCACCACCACGACGCAGGACATGGGCGACGGCGTCACCACCACCACCACGAGCACGCGCACCAGCCACGGCCACAGGCAGGGGCGCTCGTTCCTCGACAGCAACACCAAGGTCACCGGTGTTCAGGACATCCTCACCAGAATGAAGAATGCCGATATCGGTAAGCCTCTTCAGCTCTTGTAGGAGCACTAACTTCTACCTGCAGCTTTCCTTATAAATAACTTCTAAGACGAGTTAAAATATACTATATGTCATGAAAGTTGTGAACTAACATATTCGATATTACATCCAAACCTCACAGCGGGGACGGAACAAATACGTCTATTACAAGGTGAAACCAATCTGATATAGTTTTGTATAGATTGAACCATGGATAAATTCTTCGTAATACAAATCGTCTACCGCCTAGTTGGACGAAAACTAACATTAAACGAAAGCGTACTACAAATAAGATCATAGTAGGACTTGACCCTAGTCAAGGAGCTTTATCGGCATATCCATTACCTAATCCGTTGTTATAAACCAGGTCTTGTGTTTAGAAAAAAAAGTGCGTGGTATCCCTCCGCGTGGAAGAAGTGAAACTTCGAGTTCCACGCATTCACTCTCGCTCTATCTCTATCTATTCCCCCTCCCCAGGAGCGTTGAACGTTTAACGCAGCAGTGCTTTCATACTCCCTCCATGGTAGCGTTAAACGTTTAACGCAACCTTGTTGCAAGTCGCATCAGAAGTTTCACTTCAAAAAGTTCTCTCTCTAATGAAAGCGCCTAGAGCAGCCACCGAACATACCCTCCTAACCCCTCAATACCCTCTAATATCGGGCTTACATGAACCAAAACTACCAAGAATGCACTCAGTGTGACTGCTAAGCGCTGTATATATCATATAAGCAATTTACCGTCATCCCTGAATCCAATCTCTGATGGGCGATGATAATTCATGATACCCGCGAGACCCTCTAACTGTGGTAGGCCACCTAAAAGTGTTCACCGTTGCACGAATGGGCAGGTCCATCCGGACAAGTACCACGACCTCATTCAGAAGACCGACGTAAAGTAGAAGTGTTACACTTCTGCGTTTCGTCTGGTGAGTGAGGTTGCCGGGGCCCACTTTTTTTAAAGGTGGTTAAAAACCTATATCATTTTTTATATAAAAAACTCTACGGGTGTTGTAAAGTGTCTATGGGCAGCAGTTACCACTTAACATCAGGTGAGCCGTCCACTACTTCACATAAAAAAGCCCACTCTCTCGATCTCGATTCAGTATTTTCACGGTCTTCTTCAAGTTTCGTCACATTCTACTTCAATACCACGGAGAGTGATAAATTCTGGTATCGCCAGTGGTCGAGGACAGCGACTGTTGCGAGGACGCGGAGGCGCGCGCGCTTTTGAACAAGTTCCTCGGTGCCAGCGTGCTGATGGCGGGCATGCAGGGCTACGTCGACGAGAAGCCCGGCGGGAAGGTGGTCATCAACCAGGTCAGTCATTAGTTGGACCCCTTCACTGCGTAGCCGTGAGAGAGATAGTCGTGAGATGAGACTGTCGTAATGTTCACAATGTTGTTCCAGTCATGTTTCGCCTTAATATGATCTCGCTGCCTAGCCAGTCGATCACACTCAATGACTGATGAATGAATTATTTGTGTTACCAAAAGGATTGTTAAACTGTTTGAATTGATAATTCTGATCATTTAGAAGATCATTCTAATCAATTCAGAGAGATTAACAATCCTTTTGGATTCTAAAAAAACTCAAATAACATATTAAAATCCATTTTACAGCTGATTAGTTGACTTCTACGATGACATTTCAGAAACTGGACAGTAATGTTCACAATGTTGTTCCAGTCATTGGTATAATGTTTCGCGATATTATGATCCGCTGGGGGCAAGCTTCAGCCCAGTTTGTTCGGACTGCGTCATTAGTTGGAACCCCCTCGCTGCCTAGCCAGTCGTGAGATGAGACTGTCGCAATATTAACACTGTAGTTCCGGTCATTGGTATATCGTCATGACATCTTTCCTTTTTTTTTTTTTTACTAATTATGTAAATCAGTCTAACAAATCTCGATCTATAAGCACTCAAAAACAAAAAGAAATGTTGTGTTGTGTTTTTTACAGTTTATGTACATCGCTGCAATATTTTAATTATTTATAAACTTTTAAATTTGGATTCATTTTCCATTCCCCTTTAACATAAAGAGTCGCTGTTAAACATTTTGTTTAGCGATGCAAAAAAACTGGGCATTTCAACTTGAAGTCGCACGCATATCGTACTCTGAGACTCTACTACTCTACTACTGGGGAATACTCGTAGGAACTCAGTATTTTAAGACTAAACGACTAGTACAGATTAAAAATAACGAATCATAATGGTTGGCAAAACCTCTGATTGCCTTTTAAGGACACGTGAAAACTTTTCTGCCTCGTTCGTTTCTCCGCAATATAAACAAACAGCGCGCGGTAACGCGGAGTCAATGTCCAAACTAAAATTGTACTCGGATCGTATATAATACGAACATAAACTTGGCCGCCGACCAAATGAACACTCTTTGAACAATATCTGCCGTAGTTGGCGCGTCATTTAAATAAATAGGCGTTTCGTGTTAAAAATACGCTTGTCTCGGAAGAGATTAACTTCATTATGTGGCGAAAAACGACCGTTTTTCAAAAAAATTTAATGTTCCATCTTAAGTGCAAAGATTAGCACTATAAAAACATAACATAAAATTTAAACATACAGGTTAATTTACCTTTATTTTCAATAAAAATTCGTGATAGCTCATAATTTTTTTTGAAATTTTTTTTCTTATTTCGAAAATATGCAGGTTTCCTCACGATGTTTTCTTTCACCACCGAGCACGTGATAATTCAGAACTTAAAATTAACAATTTCATTGGATCCGGCACCGGGGATCCAACTCCCAGCCCACTGCTGGGAAAAGGTCTCCACCGTATTGAGGCTATTAGGTTATGGCCCATCACGCGACTTCACGCTTTGAAACTGATTTTTTATGTTTTATATGATCTTAATTCAAATTAATAAATCCCAACTTTTCTTCGAATACCTTGCAACACTCAAGGGCGAGGGATGCACTAAACAATATTTGCTGTTATAAAAAAAATAGTTTCACTTTATGTTCTGCGGTGTTCGCGTAAATGAAAGTGATTGGTGTTTGTAATTTATTTAAAAAACTAGATACTAGACAACCGGTTATAGCTGCTGTTCAAAGGGAGATAAAAACAATAAACATCTCGCAAAGTACAATAAGAGGACGGAAATGTATCGGTACATCAAAACGCAGTGAAAGCGTCGTAGCATAATAATAATTCTGTTTAAGTGTGAACGCCGACCATTTGTGTTTTGTTGATTATACGAGTCTCAAACAGTAAGCACTGAAAAAATATAAACGACGAAAATACATAGTTTCGCTTCGAAGTCTTCCTTTAGAACATCCTTTAGAACATGAAATATCTACAAATAATAAGAAATATGCAGCACTGGCTTTGTAGTAAAGAGTTTTAAATTTAAAATGTACAATATTACCTACACGAAAAACGTATAATATTGGAAATAAAGTTAAATATAATGTACCATACAAAATTAATAAAATTGTTATTTTTGAATTCATATAACATTTTATTAATTTTGTATGATACATTATATTTAGCACCGTTAAGTCTATTTTTATCATATTAGTTTCAGAATCGAATGCGGGAGTAAAAAATTAAACTCAACTAGCCAGAAGTTGTCTACAATAGACCAAACCGCTAAGAAAAATTGCTGGTTCGACATTTGTTCACATTGAATCAAGTTTTGCTGCCAAAATAGTGTTAATCCAACCGATCAAGACGATGCACTCCTAATTCGCGGGCAGTGCAGCGTGAGTCACTGGCAATAATTATCTATCAGGAAGCGAAGGGCAGATGCACAGATGCACAGATTAGCACGAGCCAACATCGTTTCGCAGAACACTTTCATATCAACATCAAACTCGAGCTGCGTATTTAACATAAGAGCTTCGGCCAAAACATCCGACGTCCAGGCTTAGAACTTTGAATCGCTTTTTAATAAATTAACAATATTATTTTATTTGGTCACCAACATAACAATGACCGGGGATAATAGTAATTGCTTATGAAGAACCGATAAATACACAAAGAAAGCTTGATTGGTCATTAATCTTCCGTGGACTTCTCCCAATGAAGTTGTGAAATGATATTGTATTTTATTAAGAAAGGCTTTTGAAAAAAGATGACGCTAGATTAAAGCTTTACAATGGCTAGCTCCACTAAAAAAAGCTTTCAACAACTATTCGATTCAGATGATGGCTACGACGGAGTAACAGCTGACTTTACTACTTTGTTGACACATTCGTTAATATCGATATTATAATTATACCATATCGTGTCGTTAAAGTTATATAAAAAAGTAAAGTAACAGCCTATACATGTCCCACTGCTGGGCAAAGGCCTCCTCTATATAGAGGGTATCAGGGAATAGTCCACCACGCGGCCCCCCTGCGGATTGGCGGACTTCACATATCTTCGAAATATTTTTTTTTTTTGTTATTATTTCGAAAATATGCAGGTTTCCTCACGATGTTTTCCTTCACCGCGGAGCACGTGATAAGACAGCACTTAAAGTTAAAAACTTCATTGGTGCCGGCACCGGGGATCGAACTCAGGTTGCTCGAGTATATTGAATTAAAGGCGAGCGCCCGGACACTGAGCTATCACGGCTCTTAAAGTTATATAAGGAAAAGCGAAATTTGTGTCTTTTCTTGGACCTTGAATTGGATCGTGACTAATGAAAATATCGGGAATATATAGAAACTAATTTGCGTTCACCTTTGTCAGAGATAGAATGCTGACAGGTGACTGACAGCGGCTAAGAGAAGCTTCTAATACAATATACCTACATATGTTTCAATACGACACAGACATCTTTCTATATAATTCGAAGCCATTTTATAATTATGACCAGTTTTAGTTATTCGAACTACGCAAATACTATGTTTATGATGAGTATATTATTAGTTCTTCGAATAGACTAGCGCTGACGCGTTCCAATACCGTTAAAACATTTACGAGTTACGATCTGATAGTGATATATTTAATCGATTTCAAAGGGAGGCGCTATAAAAATCCAGAGTAGGTGTTCAATGTGAAAATTACACATGACCGCATGTTGCAATTGTTAGTCGATATTGTTTATAAATAATGGCGCAACATAAATGCGTATCGATCGGCATGAGCGGACCGTATAGTAAACAAGAACGGGCGATGGATGCGCCCGCGCGTTGCCGTTTTAAGACACGCGCGGGAAACGCGAAAAGCGCGGCAAAAATAACACCGCGCCGACATTTCACCGCTCCGCCCGAAACCAAAGGACCTATATCGAGATCCGGTGCACAGCAATTCGGACCGTGGGTAGGCCACTCCACAGGGATTTGCGTGGAAAACCGTTTGCAGCTACCCGTGTGCTATATTCGTAGCGGTGACGTCGAAAACCATCTCCACCGCAGTCGGTTCCATACACCCGTGCAGAACGGTGCGTGTCGAAATTGACATGCCATAATCTCTTCCCCAAAGCCATATTATATGGTAATAAATTACCCGAGTGCCAGGAACTGTCATCAAGTACTGCAACAATACGAATATTAATCCAACAACTTGTCCAGTGCCTCGCGAGGTTTAGGATTGCGTTAAATTGAGCCAAGCTTTTGTTAGGTAAGCGCTCTTTGATTTTTCACATTTTTCAGTTTTTCTAATTTTTCAGAGGGATGACATTTTGTAACAGACCCGGACGAATGACTTTTTTGAGTGTAATTGGGCTGTATAACATTTTTGAAATTGTCACCAGTTCCTGTTAAAAATACTATCGTTCTATATTTGACAGATAACTGTTACATTTTACGATTTTACCATATTTTTAACTTTGCAATTTTATCAAGTTTTATCAAATTTGCAAAAAGGCTCCTTTCTTTATGTGAATATTTTGTATAAATTAGATTTAACCACAATTAAATAGTACAATAATTTTCCAGCACGGTTACCTGCTACATCTTCTGCTATGAACAGAAATGACAGTTTTAAATTTTAAAACATTATGATAAATTGTTATATTAACGTGAATAGGTACTAAATATTGTAGAATGAAAAAGCTTGAAAGATTTCGTGGTGTTTAAATATGACATTATAGCATACTAGCGACCCACCCCGGTTGCGCACGGGTGCAATGTATTATACATTATACATAACCTTGAATCACCCTATCTAGTTAAAAAAAACCGCATTAAGATCCGTTGCGTAGTTTTAAAGATCTAAGCATACATAGGGACAGGCAGACAGCGGGATGATTTTGTTTTTTATTATGCAGTGAAAACACCTCGATCTGTCACTTGTCCACGAAATAGTGTTAATGCATCGAGTTTTCAAAAGAACAGACTTGATAACTTGTTCCAAATAGTTAATTTTTT